GGCCGGGAGCCGCGGACGCGGTGGGGCAAATGAGTGTGTCGAGGGGGGCGTGTGTGTCGGGGGTGTTTCTGCGAGTCGTCCGCTCCGTGGGGCTCGCCGTGTCCGGCGCGCGCTGGTTGGCTGCGGCCAGTCTCCGACTCCGAGCCCCGCAGACGTCATCGTCACGGCGACGCACATCCTCCGTCGGCTACCGTCCGGTGCACGACGAGACACGTCAACACACACACTCTCACCTCCACTCACGCAGCCACCGCCAGCATCAGCACCAACATCAACATCAGCATCAGCATCAGCATCATCAGCATCGCGACTTCGGCCAGGCGAGACGAGGACTCGGACCCGTACCGGCCGGTCCGACGAACGGACGTCGCCGTCGCGACGGCGACAGTCGGTGCTGCGTAACTACGGCCACAGAATTGACGGCACCGAGCCACTCCTCTCTGCCCAACTACACACACACTCACACACACACACACACACTCACTCTCACCTCGACGCCCAGTTCGACGCCCATCTCCGATTCGACGTCCGCCATCCTGTCGGAGAATGTGTCGAAGGCGCATCTGCTCATCGACGCGCGTCGCGTGTATCCACGCGCCAGACGCCATGGCGACGAGTCCGTCGCCGACTGTCAGTCGGCCAAGTGGCTGACCCGCGGTACCAAGTGAGTCCCCCCCCCTGAGACGTGGCGGGCAACCGAAGCCGATTGGCGAGGAAATGGGAGAAATGGGATTTTCGCGAAAGTATGCGTCGTCATCGGCTTATGTTGCCACGCACCTGTTCAGAGTGGGACTGCATGTTTCACGACCCACTTCGAGGTTACGCCAAAAAGTGTGGCGAAAACATGATGTTCTGCTCTGCGAAGGTGCGTCGGACGAGAGCAACGGTCTTTTTTTATTCGCCGTTGGCAACCGACGGCGAAAGCGACTTTTGTCTGCACAGTTCGTCCGATTGTTTGCCGTTTTGCTGTAGGCTCGAGACCCGGCCATGGGGACGGGTTAAGGTGAAGAGGATGTGTGAAGAAAAAGTGGCTTTCGAGTGACTGTTTGCTCAGCTCACTTCCGTTTCACATGAAAGTGCCTCCGCCAGGACATGCTTTTTGAGGCTGTCTCCTTCGATTCCGGTCAACATGTGCCAAGCTTTCATCCATCATCAGCAAACCGACATCATCAGAGCAGATGGTATCATTCAATGAATTTCATAGTACAACGTTATTGGAGATCGATCTCCGAATCTCTTCTTCATGTACTTTGATACATAATGACACTTTCCTCAAAATA